AATCCAGTGTGTATTTTTGTGCAGTTTTTGTCGAATTGTAAGAGAGTAGGCTCGTGACCAGTCTGATATACGTCTTTGAGAGGTGGAGAATTTCATGGTTATCATGATATAAGCCGAACTGGTCCCGAGCCTAGAAAGAGAGCTGATCTCGTGGACGGCCGCCTTACAAGAGTTGAAGTATGCCGTCCCCTCAGCACTTCAAAAATAAAGTGTTTGTAAGGGGAGTGGTCACGAGTCTAGGAGAGAAGTAAAGTCGTATTCAAGGCAGAATATTGAATTAGCCTACCTCAAGATTCCGCCTAGGGTTAATCAGTGAAGTTCTGGAACCGTCAAACGCATACGTATAGTTCACGTCCTCTGGCGTGGTTTGATCACCAATTCCAGTCGCTGATCATCCATGACAGAGGGATGTCAAGCTACAGAAAGAGTGGCGGAAGAGATCCGACAAACTAACTGCACAGGACAATAGGTGGGAAATCTCATTCTTAGAGTGCCATGATATCCATACCTTCCGTTCTCACTATCGCTCTTAGACTCTATCTCAGTGGAATCATTAAAAAGGTTTCATCGCTCCAGAAACTTGCAGATAGGGTCTGTGGCAAAGAAGGAAATTCCTGCCACCTTCCTCTCGCAATATCCCGAACCGACTCGCATCCATGTAAACCACATATGTGTGATAAAGCGTCTCAACTGGTCTTCAGTAACGATCACTGGATGGCTGATGCCCCGATAATCGTAAAGGCCACCGGGTTCGAACATGATCTAAATCGATCGCCAATAAGGGCAACTTCTGCGCTCATACCCTTGATGTGCTCGGGAGTCGGACCATCCACAAAAGCCACGTGCTCCACCCTGGGCTCTTCCTGCACCACCAGCGCAGCCTTCATAAAATATTTCATGAGGCTAAAAAAATCAAGGGTACAGTTAGGCCAGGGGACGTGGGATAGTGAAAGACATCGTACCGAGTCTTCGAAACTCGTCAGTAGTAATTTTCTCTCTGCATTCCTTCTGCTTCTAAGCGTTGAATAGCGCCTGCCTGATGTGGGCCTCCCCCGTGCGCATGACCTCTCGTCTTACGGTTGTGCTGGGAGAAACTCTGTCAGATCTGATACCCAACGTAGATGTTAGGAAGATACTCTAATGCGACGACAGATTTTCGCCACATGAGCCTCGATAGCCTCACCAGTTGGGCTTTCTGGAAGTTCAAAGCATAGAGGATATTTGATTGCGTAGTTCAAGGTTTCGTGATCAGGAGTTGGAGGCAACACGATAATAGTGAACAATGAATGATTTCAGGGTTGAGGAATATGGGTCCGAGGTCATATGGGCGCTGCAATGCTATGTTCGCCTTTGGTGGAGGCACATTTCATCTGCCTCCTAACCAGCATATCATGATGCAGCCGGGATCGAGCGTTCGAAATTTTGCAGGATTGACGTGTTTGTACAGATTGTAACACGAACTTCATCAGAAAAACCACAAGTTATCATCACGAGCGCTCCAGCGAAGTGGGGGTAAAGTTGTAAAACGTGCAATGATGGCATGCCCGGCGTCGCATGTGTGTGGCCAACTATGAATAGATCTCCAGAAGCTCACGTTCACTCAGGACCGAATCGCACACCATGGAATCCTGGACCGCTGGCTTCTTTGAGAATGCACCTATACTAGTTCCCTGATTAGCATGGACAGGATTTCAAGCCAATCGAATTTACGGACATACTTGCAAGACACATCTGCTTAACGAGCTCCTTGGAAGAAATTCAGGCTTAAGAAATGAAAGTGTGAGACAGCCACTCGTCTCGGAGGACCGGCACGCCCTGGATTTTTGATATCAGGCCATGACCCATTGGCCAAGAATAGTGAGCGCAGCTCTAAGCTTCCCTCGCCACCTTCAAATGGGTAACACGCAAAAGTATTATGTGACACGATCCCACACAGTACTTCTTGCGTTCGTGGTCGACATGCATAACGTGATAGTCCTTGATAACAAACCAGGGCCAATATCGATGAAAGTCGCTCGTTGTAGCACGTCCTAGATATCAGACGAGTCGGGCCAAGAATATAGTGAGTGTGGCTCTGCCAGCCTGAGTTTGCCTCGCCGTGTGAGATACTGCGCAATTGCTCCCGATCATAACCGGCGGATGCCGAGCTAGCTTCATTAATCAAATTCGAAATTCGTGGTCGAAACTTCACTGTTAAATATTCGCTAGGGCACTGACCGCCTTACATTACGTTCGTTCGCAGTAGACCGACAAAGCCTGGAGAGGCTCCATGGCAGCACAATCAGTTTGCAAAGGAACGGGGTCCGAAATTGGTAATTCAATTTTTAAGTCGCCTTGGACCAGCTGATTTTTCGCTAGACTTTAGCTACTTCGGTGGTGCTGAATCTTTTACGGAAGGGAAACGTTCTCTACGTCGGACAACCGTTGTTTCCCCTTCTGAACAAGATGATGGCGTATCTTACCCAGGTCCACCGCAAGACCCCACAGATTTTTTGTGGATAATGACAGAGGAACCTCACCGCTCACGACGTATGGCCATTATGAAAGCGCACCCTGAAGTTACCAAGCTCATGGGGTACGAGCCTCTCACAAAATATGTCGTACTGGCTGTCGTGTCACTGCAGCTCTACCTTGCCATATATCTCCGACATACCCATCCGCTCTCTTTCCGCTTTTTGTTCCTCGCGTATGCTGTAGGCGGCACAACCAACCAGAATCTTTTCCTCGCCATTCATGAGATTACGCATAACTTAGCATTCAAGGGCATTAATGCGAACAAGGCCCTGGCCGTTTTCGCGAACTTGCCCATCGGTGTACCCTATTTCGCCGCGTTCAAGGTGTGTAACGCGCGTGTGTGAGCAAACGTTGACTGACAGGCACTGCGGATGTTCCTAGAAATACCACATAGAACACCACAAACATCTTGGAGAGGATGGGATAGATACCGATCTGCCCACAAATTTTGAACTGCTTTGTCTCAACAACGTTCTTGGAAAGACATTTTTCGCGTGAGTTCGGTGTCACATCTAAGCATGTAGCTTAACTCACGCACATATTAGGACGTTTCAGATATTCTTTTACGCCCTAAGACCTGGCTTTGTCAAAATGCAGACGCCCACCCGATGGCATTTGTACAATGTGATTGTGCAGCTTCTCTTGGATTATATCCTGGTGCATACTTTCGGCATTCGCCCCCTGCTATACCTGCTCTTCTCAAGCTTCTTTGCCGGAAGTCTACATCCATGCGCAGGCCATTTCATCGCCGAACATTATGTATGGGATGGTCTCAATCAGGAGACCTATAGCTATTATGGTCCCCTGAACATCCTGGCTTACAACGTACGTTATTTTGTACCGTTTTTTCGCCTACGTTAATTATGTTGCGCAGGTTGGCTATCACAACGAGCATCATGACTTCCCCTCTATACCATGGACGCGTCTTCCAGCATTGCGAGCACTGGCACCAGAGTTCTATGACATTCTTCCATCACATCCCAGCTGGCCAATGGTCATCGTGAACTTTATTCGAGACAAGGAGGTCGGCATCTTCGCACGCGCTAAGAGGTTGGCCAAGAATAGCAAGCAGAAGCATGAGAGTCCCAGCTCAAGCTCAAGCAGTGATCGGGAGTGAAGGTTGACTGACATTTAGGTGCTTTCTTAATGGACGCTGTATATACATCGCCATACGACAATCAAATGGTTTTGCAGGAAGGAATGTAGCTCGGTATTAGCCTTCTATTTAATGGTTGTCTTTAGAGTGGCATATGTCCAGTACTTGTCTACCACCCAGTTTTGTTTGGCAGTAGTTCACTCTCTAGCCTTCTGGATAACGCCGAACTTTTTTTGGCGTAAACCCTAACCCTAGTCGACGATACAAACAGAAGCGGCTCATGGAGTCGCCGCAGAGTCCAGACTCTGCGCCAATTTCCAAAGCCTGGGGACACACTGGGCAACGTTTGAGAGGACAAGGTTCCGGGCGGTCAAAGGTCTGACTGTTTGGTCTGTTGTCTTGCATCATTGCAACTGGCACCTGCCGTCTACGTCAGCCACCACCACGCATCCCGCCATCTATTTTAACCACCATCATGCCAATCTCTCCATCATTTTCAACTTGCCATCGTGGTTTCAGTCCCTTGGATGGAAGACATTACTGCCGTAGACTGGGAGCTGCAGACAATGACATGGTGCCAGCAGGCGAGTAGCAAATAGGCAAACACGGAGGAAGTAGTAGGCAGGCAGGCAAACGTGAGAGACTCGCAGGGATCAGAGATGGAGGTAAAGATCTTGGTGGGGATGGAATAGCGACATCGTGAGGTGGGTAACAGACTTCCAAGTTCCCGGCACTTCCTGAATTCGACCAACCCACTAACATGACACAAGTCCGCATCCAGTTTGCATAGAGACCGGCTAAATTCCACACTTCCTGAGATCATCGAACTCTCAGACTCCAACTTGGAGTCCAACGACCGTTCACTTGACGAGGGCGAGCAGGATGACGCTTGCTTGGCCCTTCCTGGAAAACAAGACTTAGCCACAGTTTGATCACACCAATTGTGAGCAAACGACTGTTCCGGTGATTTGACTTGCAAATACTAGTACTAGTACATGTGAGTATTTATAAATTATATTCCATGTTCGAGTTAGCCGCCACCGGCGGGCTGGTCTTGTTGATTAAGATTGTGTAGTTGCTGGATATCTGCGTCGTGGAAACTGGAAATGCATGTGAAACGGTGTGACAAAACTTTATGGTCATTGTTCAAGTTGGCGGCCACCGGTGGGCTGGTCTTGTCGGTCGTGTATTTGCTGGATACCTGCTTTGTGGTCATCGGAAATGCATGTGAAATGGTGCGATAAAATTCAGTCGGTGAGCAACACGTACGCTTTGGAAGTAATCACACTGATGTCGTTCGAACAGACCCACACCGCGGATCATATGACACCGAACGCGAGATTTATGGGATCTCACCGCATCCCCAATCGTGCCTGAAGCAACTTGCATATAAGAGCGACTGTCCAGCCAAAGATTTACTAGGCAATTGAAACTTCACCGCGTACGTTTTCGTTGCGCGATCCCCTTGCTGCTAGATCTAACAGTGAACGCGCCAGTGCAACCATGGTTCTTTTTGTACTGGCCGTTTCCTTGCTCCTTGCGCTCGGCACAGGACTCGTTAGTGCAGAATGCATTGCCTGTCCTAATTGCGATTACGAGCGGATCAGTATCGAGCAAGGAGATGCATGCATCAACTTCTGGACGTGCTCAGGCGATACTATCACATGCACTTACCCTTCTGTTGCAAATCCGGGAACGTGGAATAACTGCTCATACAGTGCATCGACCGTAAGTAACTGTCTTTCGCAGCGGTGCATGCACACTCACCGATCTTTCGGAAATGCCAGGGTTGGGCACTCGCAGATGGCCCTAGCGAGATCTGCTTCTCGGGAGCGGGAGCCAACGCGAAATGTGAAGCACCGAATAACCCTTACAACAATGCTATCCCAGCCTGCACCGCTTCGTATGGGCTTATCAATGGAACCAACGGTCAGTTGTTGTAAGGATTCAGGAATTAAAGAGCGGATACATGGTACTTTGAATCTGATCACACTCCTTAAGCTTGATCTTGATGTGATGGCCTCAAAGAAGCCACAGATAGTGTTCAGGAACGATAGCGAAGCTCGCTCACTGATCTGTCATTCCTTACCATTTACCTTCAGTTGGTGTCTCCGTTCTCGCACTCTTGCTTGAACCATTACCATTAAAGCAGTCACACCACCACGTACAAAATAGGAATCAATAGATACGGTACGTACTGTAGGTATTGTTTAATACAGGGCCCGCCCCAACGGACGATAAACAATCAAAAATCGCAGTTTGTGCACTTCACGGTAGAGGTAGCCCGTGCTGCACCAGGGATATCATACAGGTGCAACCTCATTCGGGGTTGCATGGTTATCATCATACCAATGTTTCTTACCTGTCAACTTTCGATAATGACGCAAGAGTACCACGACATCCGAAGTCAACAAAAAGTTATTGATGCTGAGAACCTATCAACCACCGTCAGAACATGCAACAAATTCACACATCCGCACGTACGAGAAGCCACGTCCTCAAAGCGGCGACTCCAGCAGCTCGATCTATCATCTTCCAATTATCGTTGATGAACGTCTCCGTTCCTTTGAAAAATTCCGCGACAAATTTGTTCCTGACACCCCGTTGGCATATGTCAGATCTTCACGTTGTTGAGTTGAACGTACCGATTTAGAAATATCCAGCGAAACCAGAGCGCCTGCATGACCTTGTCTTCATCTCTCACGTCGTCGATCTCGAAGATATCTTCTTCTCTATCGAGGATGACCCATGCGAGGACACCAAACTCATCCAGTGGTAGTGTGTTTAGAAGATCGTATAGTCGGGGACCGCCCACGCGGCATGAATAGATGCCATCCGACTCGAGTAGGTAAGGATACTGCGCTGCAGGCCCTAGGGGATCAGATTGGGGAGGGGGCGTTGGCCTTCCAGAAGCATGACTGGAAGATGCACGAGACAGCGTGCGAGACGTTACAGAAATACTGCGTGTAGCCGACAATGCCAGTGAACCTGTACGAAGTATCGGGTAATGCCACTTTGGTTTGATGTCGAGTTTATCTGCGTCAAGAAAAGGTTGAGATGCCACGGAGGTATTTCGTGATGGAGACAGTGTGGTCGCTGGAGTGTATTCGCCATCGTGAAAATTGGATGAAAAGTCGGTTATCTCTGTCGAAGCAGTCCTTGTCGAAGTTGTCGTCATCGCACGTTCATGGGGCAATCTGTGAAGCAGCCATCATCGCTGATGTTCAAGGAGTGGGCATAGAAAAAACTTACAGTGGAACATGCCTACTGGCAGGCAACGCAACTGGTAATGCAGCATGTCTTGTCAGTGGAAGTTCTACCCACAGAGTATAGTTATCCTGCACAAGTTTGCTGAGCTTTCGATCTTCCGTTGCTGCATATAACCTACCATATCCCACAAGAAACCTACTCCTAAATGGTCCCGCTGGAGATGAGCGTGGAGGATTTCCTGCGTGGGAAATACTCCGTGAAGTTCGCAAAGTGGACACTTCCAATCAGTCATTGTCGTCCGAGTCTCCTGTCGTTTTAGAGATCTATCTTCAGCGATTTGCGCTAGGCACTTGTATATGACCGTGACAGGTTTAGAAGGTGGAATACTGGGAGATGGATCGATTCCAAGGGACTTGCATCGACTGAGAAACCCTTTGCGGAGGTTTCGTAGCATGAAGGGAAGACGGCGTAATTTTGCTAGCCGGATGGTCGTCAGTGAAATGTTTTCCAAAGCCTCGATAAGAGTATCTGAAGGAATATCCGTAGGTGTTTCATCCCTTTCTGTAACGTCAGATTCTGAGGATGATTCGGTTTGCTCGCGAGTAATGTTGTGAGGGATGATACCAAGGTCCACATATTCCAGTTCCTCGCTATCCTCGCCCGCAGGAGCGGGTATCGTAGATTCGTCATTGTCGGATGATTCGCTGCTATGGGAATTTGTGGGGGTGACGGAACGCTGTATCTCGGGTGGAACTTTGGTTGTTTTGCGTCCAAATTGAAGCTTTCTAGCTGCTTTCACCTGAACACCTATCTCTCTACATAAACACTGTCAGGCGGTACTCGACGGTTGCCATCAGTCAAGACTCACCTGGCAATCTCGACAGAATTGCCTGAAGATTTACCCCTGCTCAATTTGGATAACTTTAAACCGACATCGACATAGTTTGCACTCCCGCTGCTATGTTCACTTGAGCTGTCAGAAAGATGGCCCTGTCTGACATCCCTATTTGCACTGGACATACGAGGTACGCGTGAATGTGTTCTGCTGCGTGTGCCTTCAAACTTTCGCGCATATTTTCCAGAAAATGACTCGGTATGTATGTGAAGGCGCATTTGCTGCGATTTAGTGGCACGGCGCTGATCAACTAAGAAACATTGAGCACGGTGCTGATGATATAATTTTGATACGCTTACGTGCATTGTTGTTTGACTGTCTACCAAGGCCCCTGCGTGAGACTAGTCGACATGAGGCGTAAGGTTGTTGAGGATGTGCTTATTGTACGTACCATCTGCCGACGACTTCGAGTTCCTTGCTGCACCAAGTTTGGAAGATCTCTCGGGAAAGAAGGAAGTTGATTGAGACGGAAGTTCCTCTCTTCTCTCTGAGGCAGCAGATGAACCAAGACCTGGAGCGAACCGTGCAGATTTCTGCGCAGCCCTGTTACGAGCGACAGGACGCCGCTCCACGGGTAGTGGAAAATCTTCAATATTGAAAGTAACTTTCTTTGGAACCCTGGCAGCAACATCATTTTGCTGCAGAGGTTCGTGAATAGCTACGATACGAGTAGCATTTGATGAAAGCGATAATGTCATTCATTCATTCATCATCGGCTAGTTTGAGTCGCTTACCAGGTCTTGATAGATTTGTACTGATTTGTCTCGCGTTCAACCCTTGGTTTCTAGTATGAGCATCCATCCTTGCGTCAGCAGTTGCAGGTTGAACTACTGCTCCGAGACGATTGCCTGGCCTGACATCATTTGTGGCAGTTTTTGTAGCAACAACCCTTGTAGGATTATCGAGCCTTGGATCAGTTGCGGGGGGGCCTGCTGCGATGCGACCGCCGGGCCTGAAGCTGACAGATTTTGTAGCAACGCTGGTACTTGGTCTTGTAGTATTATCAAGCCTCGGATCAGTGAATTTCCGAGCACTCTTGACGATGCGAGGGGGAGGAGGTACTCGATCGCGTGGATCTGACATACCAGTACCATGAAGATGGATGACAATCCAGCTAATGGTATACTTATCTGTATCATATCGTCGCTGTTGCCATGTCACATGTTTATCTTTGTGAGTAAGTGTGACGACGAGTGGCTTCGATAGCACGTGAGTGTGACAATTCGTGTTCTCTCCATGGCCGGCCTTGGCAGCAACTTGTCAGTACTGACTGGCATATGATGATAGGCTATGATGAGTTCTCAGTAAGTTCTCTTGCAATAAGAATATTGCCTTGGAAAATTTTAAATTTATTTCCGCGGACACAAATATGATTACATAATCAAGTCTATAAGAAGAATTTCCAACCGAGTCGGATATCCTCGATCTGAGACATCCGATTAGGGGTAACCAATTCATTCAACGTCAACTGAATTGCCTTCGGGCTCCACCAGAGTTCCGCCAAGGCACTAGGATGACGTCCTCAAATTCATCGCTGGAAAGTATAAAAGGACCACAGATTTTCCAAATATCCTCAATCAACTCAACTCATCAACTCACAATCAACTCACTCTCAATTCTTATCAATTCATCATGTTCTCCAAATTCATTAGTGTCGCATTCGTCCTCGCTGCAACTTTGGCACCCACCAGCGCCGTGGTCTTCCCAAGGGGCAACAATGTTCGTGATCCTCAGGCTGGTACTCTAACTCCCACTGTCACGCCTACCATCACGCCCACCACTATGTCCACGCCCACCACTACGTCGTGGTCTTCCACCACGCCTACCACATCCTCCAAGCCTATCACCTCCTCCACGCCGACCAACTCTTCCACGCCGACCACCTCCTCCACGCCTACCACCTCCAGTACACCTACTTCCTCACCTACGACTTCTACCACACCTCCGCCCTCTATCACTTTTACGCATCCCACTACTATTCCGTCCTCTATCCCTATCCCGCCTACTACCTTGCCAACGCCCTCGACGTCTGTGATACCTTCTGGTCAGCCCAACAAGGCCCCCTCTCCATCCGTGCCGTCAGCGTCGTGTAATGGTGTCCAGCCATGGCAGGTTAATCTCGCAGTAAGTTGTGTCTACGTCTCAGTTTTCCCTTCGCTCACATCCCGCTCAGTATAGTGCAGGCGCTCAGGTGATCTTCAACAACCAATTGTGGACCGCCAATCAGTGGAGTTATAACAACAACCCCGAGTCCGCCGCCGCCGAGTGGACTCTCAACGGGATTTGCAACCAACCGATCAGCAACAAAGTTGATTGCACCGGAATCCCTGGTTGGAACAAGTCCACCGCCTACAATGGGGGTTCAAAAGTAACCTTCAATGGTCAACTCTGGATTTCCACGCAGTGGACCGAGAGTAACAGCCCTGGCGATGCTTCCGGAACTTGGAAGGATTTGGGTGCTTGCAACTAATTCAATAGTTTGGGCTTTTTAGATTCGTAGCAGTTCGCATCATGGACAATTCTTTATTAGCATTATCTTGCTATGGACATTATCATGGACTTATTAGATTTTTTGTTTCTCTCTATCAATCAACGTTTGTTTTTCATGGCTATTGAATACTATGGGACTTTTCACACTTTGCGCTAGTGTATTCATAAAATCATTCTTTCGTTGTTCAATATTCTTAGTCTTACCAAACAATGGCTAAGTTAACGTGCCGCTCTCTGCCTCTCGTTGTTCCTGCCTGCGGCAAAATCCCAAACGACAGTTGTGGCGGGTTTGTTGCATCCCTTAGTGTCGGCGCCTTAGCCACTGTGGTTAACCTCTGGTATCTTAGCCGATTGTCGAGCGTGTAATCATGGCCGGACACAAGGGCTGACGACGACGAGAAATTGGCTGAGCAGCACGTTCCTCGGAGCATTATCGGCCGCTTAGATCGAGGTATGATTCCGAGCTTGCACGAACCCACGGAAGGTGGGGATGAGTATTCTCGATATTCAAGGATGTCTACCACACATCGTATAGATGCGTTGATCGTGTAACTTGGTGCTACTCCGGTATTACGCGGGCACCGTTCCGCCAGAAATAAGAGTGTTTCGCCGAAGGATCGGTCTGGCTGCCGAACCTAGGTTGGATGAATACATGTGGCAACACGAAAATGTCAAAAATGCTTGCAAAGTATATGAAGAGTTCAGGCTTACTGATACGACAACAGACCTGTCAGAACGGCCTGGACAGTTGAGTAGACTGTGGATGGTGTGCTGCGTGCAAGCGCATTACTCACAAGGGCTAGGATTGTCGGGGTATGCGTCAAGCGCGACGAGAAACTGCAACACCAAGATGTCTTTGATTATCACTGCAATAGAATGCGCGTCGAACAGTTCCAAGAACGGATTACAAAGAGGTTTGCATCGATATGTAATGTAACGTGTCGAAACGAAGGCTGAAGTAATCGCTGAGAGAAACTTGAAGAAGGGGTCACAAGCATTACTTCAAGTGGTGGCAGTAACACCAGAATTAAACCCTGGTTCAAACGTTAGCTCCTCCCCATCCGACGAGAGTGGTCAGATGACGAAGATGAGTGGAGAACCAGTCCGCAAAGACAATTGAGTACCCCGCCTGTCGACAAGATGCGAGCGAAAGCTGTCGCCTGTAAACCAGCATTCGCGCCAATTCAATCCACTGGATATCAGCAAGGGTTCACCAAGAACGAACTGCCATTCGACGTGTAGTAGTAAGTGGGATGCTACAAAATTCAAGGACGGGGGAACCCACTGGAAAGATCGAATACCCCTTGCCACCAAGTAGGGTCGGCCTGTCATCCTCTTAAGTGGGTAGTTGAAAAGCGAAGTAACGACCCACTGGTACCTCAAGGGCGCAGTGAGCCTCACCTTCAGAGACCATGCCCCGAGATGAAGTATTGAATCGGTCACCACCTGATCGCCCTTGGGCTTCAATGAGGCACATTGAGGGATGCTCGGGCTGAGGCCCTGCACAAATCGTGGCAACCACACCCTCAGGTTGGAGCACTTTATGATCAGCCGTCATGCGGCTATCCTGGGTAGGCAACAGCTTAATTGAACTTCGAAGTTGATGGGCCGATAACATTGACCCAGACTTGAACTGGGTTTCCAATTCTTGTTATCGAGAACCGAAAGTTGAGACAGCGTCGTCCCGCCAAAATTTTCGAAGTCGTAACTCTCGTCATGCATCCGTATTCACCTACGCGAGGTATCTCGCCAGCTTATACTCAGCGAAATCACGGGTGCGGAGATAGGATTCGGAATCACAGCAATGGTTAAATTTTTGGAAGAATCTGATACTTTCAAGAAGGGAAGGCGGAGACAAAACGAAGATGTCGAAGGGAGAATAGAAGATAGAGAGGACAGAGGACAAACAGCGAGGAGTAGCGGACAGCTTGAGGGAGGAGTGGAGGATCTGAGGAGTGAAGGGGATGTATCAGATCAAATCGTAGCGGCGGCAAGCCGCCAATCCCGACTCCGCCTACCTGCTTACTGTTGAATCTAATGGAAAGTATAGTTCAGGAGTACGACCGTAAAGATAAGGTGGGGGGCTCACTGCGTGTCCGTTTGAATCATGTTCAATTTTCACACAGGTCGGTGGACCATCAGGTTCGTCGCATACTAGTCCCACTAGTAACGCCTACCACTGCCTCCCATTATTATCAACGCCCACCTCGCCCTACACACAACTTATACATACCATAGTAGGCCGTGAATACCTCATAAGAACGTCGTATGCTCGCAGTCACCATCACGCCGCACGGCAAGGTGAGATCGAAGAAGCCATTTCAGCATGGACCAATCAGCAGCAGGTTGAAGAGTTTTGACCATTCTCGAGGGCACTCGCATCCCTGTCGGACGCGTCGTAGGCGTGAAAGAGATCGTGTAAGGCGAACAAGTAAACCACAGAGGGTCCTGGGATGCCCGAAGCGCTGTGGCGAATTTACATGGTGTACACGGTCTGCGGAGGGAAGGCGTCACTACTTACATATCAAAAAAGGAAAATCGCGAACACCAGTTCGCAAGGTATAAACACAATCAAATACTAATATTTTCTGGTGAGCGGTTAGCGCTAGCCTGCAGGGCCCAATGCCCATGCCGCGTATCAGCTCACTATAGACGGTCATGCATCAGATTTTAGAAAAGGATGATCAGGTTTGCCTTGCTCAAATCTTACAAGCGGATGCATCTCTTCCCGCCAACCTGGGCTGAGTGGGGGAGCAAGTACCAGCTCAGGCAGTACCACTTTGACACCCCTTCCGTAAGAGAGACAGCGACAGGCGACGCAAGACCGCTCGGACCTGTGCCATCTTGACACGTGCCGCGTGTCTCAATTTATTTCTCCTGTAGCGATCTGTACTATTTTGTACCCCGATTTGAACCCGATTTCAGCTGGGGATACTGATACAACTGTTTTTTCGGTGGACACTCGAGCTCAAGTGTCGAGGATATCGCGCTCCTCTTAACTCGTGTTCTCAATGCAAGACTCACAAGTCGAAAGCAGAATTGATTAAAGCTGCATAATTGAACATATCTTCAATGCGCAAAACGGAAATCAAGTCTTCTGTTCCCAACATCCTTGGTCGTGCTCAGATAGTGTGCACGTTCCTATCATGTAAAGTCTTTAGCGCCAGAGCCCCTGCTCTTCAGAAAGTCCACAATGAACTCACCTCTGTCGTCATCGCATCCCAAATCTTAGCTCGTTGTCGGTTACGCCAGATGTAGTATGCTTTTGTACCTGGGTACAGAAAACAGATGTTGATGCAGCAAATGATGATGAGGATCTCGTTGCCGTGTCGATCTGCGCGAGGGGATGAGTATGACGATTATGTTGCCTGGGAAAGGAAACGAGGAGTGACATACATCTGGGAGCATCGCTGGCTACGTAGATCTGCGCGGATATGATCCCACTCGCTTGCACGAACCTAGCAGAAAGTGAGTATATCTCCAGTTTGAAAATGGGGGAATCCACACATGTTGTATAACGACGCGTTGACTGTTCGACTCGCCACTGCCCCGGCGTTACGAGAGCACCACCCCACCTGAACAAGAGATAAGTATTTTGCTCGAGGATCGTTTTAAGCAGTACCTGGATTGGATGGGTATATCTGGTAACACAAGGATGTCAAGAATGGTTCACTAATGCTGACAAGTTCGGACTTACGGATATGACAACAGACCGGTCACCACAGCCTGAACAGTTGAATAAGCGGCGAATGATGCGCTGCGCGAAATCTGTTACTCACAAAAAAAACCCAAGGGTTGGGGCTGCTAGGTAATGCATAGAGTGCAACGAGGAAAGGCAACGTCCAGAGGTCTTCCATCATCGATACAATAGTACGCTCGTTGACGAACTCTGAGACAAGTGTGATCACAAACATGGTGATAATTCCGAAAGCCTGAGAGGGTATCGTAAGGAGGTTGGTGTCAAATGTATTGAATCTGTGTTCCTGGCCTTGAGTGTGTCAAACGAAGGAATACTCGTGATACCTACCCGATGTCCCTAAGTAGTAAGGTGAGATATGTCGAGGGGGGAGTGTTCGGGATGCCAAACATGAGGCCGCTATGTTTCATGAGTGTCTAACTCTTACAAAGATTAGGGGAACGGCGTACAGGATGTAAATCGGCCAAAGGTCATAATCACACATTGCTGTCCACAGGCGACGCAGTGTAAGGCCCTCGCGGTTGTGCATGTCACCCTGAGGGAGTAAATTAGTCACAGCGTCTAACGAGACTGGGACATGACTACTTACCTTAGTGGGATCATCCCGAAGTACTCGGTTGACCATAATGATTTCTTCTCTTTCCGTGAACCAACCGTTTGGCCGGAACCATGTCTTGGTCTGCGTTGGCGATGCAGGCATGCGGAAAAAAGATAAAACTCCTATAAGGAGAGTGAGGATTCCCCTGTGAGAGGGTCGAGTTAGCGCGTCTTATGTCATTGGAAAGAAATGTGCGTACTCAATCATGAACAGCCATCTTGGATCAAGTCAGGTTTTTGCGAAATGAGGATCAAACTTTTACTAACCGCCATCCAGCAGCGCCAGCCACACCATCCATATGAAGTGTGCCATAGGCTATAAAACTAGCAATGATGGCGCAAAGGTTCATGGTCATCCAGAACAGTGCGAGGCGGACGGGTAGCTCCGTCTTCGTGTAAAAATCTGTCCGAAAGGTCAGTAATATAAGACGAGGTGAAAGGAAATGACACACAAGATAGATATAATATCAGGTCAGGGATATAGCTGGGGAATATAAACGAAGTACACTCGAGCGCACGCAGGAGTTGGACTTACCCGCCTTGCAAAACGCTGAATTGACTAGTCAGTAAAAGAAGCTTTGGGACAGTAATTACATGATATTACCCAAGAAGCGCTCGGCAGACCAAGAACGAGGCCCTACCGGTCAACCAGAATTGTGACAGAGACACGAAACCTATGGCCTATCGATAAGAACGGTTTGATACAGTTGTTCTGTTACATACTCCAGAGGCACATTTGCGTTGGTATCCAGCGATCCGGTCCAATCTTCAATACGACCATAAGTCACACGAAACC